TAGAAGCTAAAATTCACCTAAAATTAGAGCCAAAAATATGTCCACTATATGTCCACTATTTTTATCATATTTTTGAGCAAAATATAGCAATTGTCCACTATTGCAAATTTTTGAGTTGGCCAGCCTAGTAGTAACTGCTATTGTAATGAAGGGCATTTCAATACAAATTCAAAATGATATCAAAAGTCATATGTATTGAATGGCAAAAAGTGGAGTTTTATCAAGTTTTCACTGTTTGTGATTATACTGAACATCCGCTCAACTATTTTATTCATAAGTGTTTACATTTTCTTTAATAAAATACAAGAATATATCAGATATTTCTTAATATGAATTGTTTGTAATAACAAAACTATAAACATTTTTATTGATAATCAATGAACAATAATAAGTTATTGTTAAACAAACTAATAACAAATGAGAAACATCCAAATGCAATATAAAGGCTTTATAATAATCTCATAATTTATTAAATGAAATACATAACAAATTATTAATCATTATTATAAAACAAAACAATATTTTAAATATCAAATTATAAACTATTAGTAACTTGGTAGATTATCTATGGTCAGATTTAGTTTATTTTCAACACAGATTTGATGCAAGTCTGTAATAAAGGATTTACATTTACAAATTATATTAGTTAATAAAGATATTTAAATGATGATCAAAATGAATGATGATAACTTACAATATATTTGTCTCCCATATCGCAAAACTTTTTACATTCTTCTGACTTAGCGCTATCAAACTTCTTCACCCAATTATCAACAATACAAGCCTTTTGTGTCCCGCAAAGTGACAAAACCTTTTGCCGATCCGTTAACTCCTTAACATTGAGACATTGTTTAAGCAATTCATCCCTCTGTTTATGTTTATGTAATTAAAATAAATTTAATTAATTATATTTTAAAGACAGTTTGATATATGATTTAGTATACAGTAGTGGTATTATTAGAGCCGCATTTGGTCTCGAGTTGTGCCAACTGGTCGTCACTGATCTGTTGTTTATCATTACATAAGACCTCTGCGATGCCGTCAAACCGTTTCTTAATGNCTTAATGTCAGACTTAGTATCTTCTCCGCCATAAGCCGTACTTAAGGCACAAATCAATACTAGAGTTATTGTGAACTTCATTTCTATCGACAATTGTCTAACAAATAGTATTGATGTCAGGAATTAACAGTTATATTTATCTCGATAATGATTTTATTTACAGATATTTATAGCAAAATATATGTTATGCATATTATTATGATATTTTTTGTTCAATTATTACTAATAATTTATTAGTATTTGTTTAGAGATTTTTAGTATTTATTGATTTTAATGTTATGTTTTGTTGTGTGGGAATCAATCAATCCTTTGGTTTTCAAAATATCTGTTTAAACATGAGATAAATTATTGATTGGTTTGACAGATCATTGTTTGGCATTTATTTATCATAATTTCGATGATATGTTTACACAATTGTATTAATATATAAAATATTTTTTTATAAGTGAAATAAATGTCAAAAATATAAATCATTACTTTTGATACCCATTATTGCTATTTATAAAATCAAATAAATTATAACAAATATAATGACATCAACTATTGTAGTAAAACATTTTTGGCATATCATTTAAAATCTGTACTTTTATTTTTATTTAAATAAATATTGTATATAAAAGTAAAAATTATTATAGTTTTTTGTAATTAACAGTTACAGAGACTGAAAGCATAAATAAGACGACAGGAATTGTATGGATAATAATTATTGTAACCATTGGTTGCGCCAGAAGTACCCAAAACAATAGCGACATAAGAATCCGCATATTTATTTAACGTTATAGTTTTGTTAAAACTTGGTAATAAAACTGAATATTTGCAACAATTACATTGCAATTCTAAACAATTAGTTAGCAATTAATTAAAACCAAGATTAAATTAAAATATTTTATTTATTCAATAAATTAATTAGTACTATATTAAAGTTGACGCAATATAAGTGATTATATTAAAAATATATTCTCATTCTTTCAGTTCATTTTTAATGCAATCCTAAATCATATGATAAAGACATTAGAATTTAATATTTTAATTAACAATTTAACAATTCTTACGACAAGTTGTTGTTTCAAAGCCGTTGAATCGCTGCCGGAATCCAATACTGAATCAAATAATGGCTTTTGTTTAATACAGGAAAATGTTTTCGCATCACAAAAAGCGTTCAATAGATCTCTCTGTGACTCAATCTTAGCGTTAGTGCAGCTAAGGATCGGGTCGTTGTGGTGATCGTCCGGATAGCTGTCGTCGTCTCTCTAGATATTGAGTATTGTTTTTATTAATATTTATTTTAAAATACAATTAATAAATATACTTTATTTACTTTATGTAAGCCATAACTGAGGCTATGTCTGTCGTCAACACATTTCTTGTGAATTGTGGCCAATTTTTGGTCAGAAATTTGGACGCGATTTCCGATCTCATCATAACAGAGGAGATCATACATACGAGTCCACCACTGCTCGTCTCCGTTGCATACATTCATAGCCATTACTAATACTACTAATAATTTTATTGACATTTTATTTGTTATTTTTAAACTTCTTAAAGTTATAAAATTTCAAACAATGCTTTATTCTCAATGCACTCCTTTTATAGGACAACAATTAGTAAATTATAAGTTAATAAAAGTAAATTAAACGGAAAATTATTTATAATATATGGGTATTTAATACCCTTATACAATATTTTTTGTTTAATGTATATTTCATGAAAATGATTACTGTACGATCCTATTACCACATTCTTCATAAATGAATTGTGGTTAAAAATAATCTTATTATATTAACTTTATTTGTATAATTATTAATTTTTATAATTTTTAAAAACAATTCTCATATGAAGTAGGTAGTTTATAGAATCTCGACCCTATCCCTCCCCCACCCTATGGGGTTTAACATTGGATTCCATGTTAATCCTATGACATTGCGACTTTCCATAGAATATATAATATTATAGTGAAATTTCTCAATTGGAAAATGCTTATACCGTACAGGGGTTTCATTATTGACAATAACCAGACTCTCATTATATAATAATAGAGATGATTAAAACAATCCCATAATAAGGAAATAATTAAGTCCAGCCATATATACAAACTGATAGAATTCATATTTATTCATCGCAAACAAGTCTAAGCAATAAAAGCCGATCTCAAGTCCGGACAGTTTGCCGATAAATACCTCTACTTTAAGCCGTTTCGTCAAATCAAATCTCCGGCGGATTAGAAATGCATAGAGAAGTGGGTATGACTTATGGGCCTCTTTACTAATCCAAGTGCTCATTACATTCATTTGCATTACGGCTGCGAAACAAAAGCCGGTCACTAAACCGTATATTACGCGACCCAAGAGTGAAGTGTCGGGCTTATGGGTGCCGAAGAGGGCGATCTGAAAGCCAGGAGTAGCCAAATAGTAGATTATGAAAATCATTTTGGAGAAGAATTTGTTGAAATCCGATGTGATTTGTCCGACAAAGTTGTGCTCATTGATGGCTCTCAACAGTTGGTTCACATCACCCGACGTTAAGCTCCTCTCGATTTTGGCGTTTATTTCTCTAAACTTTAATTTGAGGTAAAGAGTGGACGCGTACCAGAAGATAACACCCGCCCATAGTATAGCCATTGTCTGGACAGTAAACACAAACATAATGACAGTCCACAGGATTGTCATTATTAGCGAGTAATCGGTTTTGGTGTCAAAGTATGCAATAATTGAGAATAGAAAACATGCGCCAAATTGTATAAACACCGAGATTTCAAACGTTAAATCCATGAGATATTTGAGCAACAAATTGAGTTTAAACGCCAACTTCTCTTCGTTGGATCGGTTGAGTGGATAAGCGATACGTTTGGTGAGAATTAAGTGCCATATCTTTAATATATGCAACATTTGATTGACCTCCTGGTATGCGATGACGAGTGAAACGGAAGTGATGACGAGAGCCATATTGAAGAGCCACGACGACGAGAAGAAGTGGTCGCCCATTAAATAACTGAAATTACAGCAAACGTATTGAACAGTCGGGAATTTTTGAAACATTTCCGAAACGGGGAAACGAATTGTCTCTAAAAAGCAGGCGATTCTTGTGATCGCTATTAATAGATATTTGCGTTCAGTTAAGGGCTTTTCGGCCGCGTATTCCTCCAAATGTGTGCAAAACAGCATATATTTGGTCCCAAACTTATCAAATATTTTGATCGCTTCGTATAATTCATTATTGTTGTTACGGAATTGGCTAAACCTATGCCGCAATTTATTGATTAAAATAATTATAAACATTTCACTTTAAAATACTTAAAATGTTTTCATTTCTTAAATAAAATATAAATTTTATTGTATGTAATGAATAGAAATGAAATTATAATCTAATAATTTTGGATATATTTTCAATTGTTTGATTTAAATAAATTAACATTTGTTTAATCGTCAAAAAATATTAATTTAAAACAATACAAATGACTAAAATAAGGCAGTTATTTACCTTTATGAATTATGTCAACAATTAAGTCATAATAATACAAACACTAGCTTATCAATGTTTAATTAACGATGTTGGTTTTAAAAATATAATTTAAAAATTACAATATTATCATCATATTATTATCAAATTATAATATGATATATACAGTCTTTCATTTGGCACTTGTTTTGCTATTTTAACGTAAAGTTTTCATTACAATACAAATTATATCGTCGTTAGAAACAGTCAAACATTGAATTATTATAATTGTGTGCGAAATAAATACCGCAATAAAAATGATTGGAAAAGTTATAATTGCAGTAATGGTTGTACTATCAGTGGTTCAGCAATCGTTGGCCGGTTTGGGCACTTTATTGGCTGGATATGGTTTGTGTCAAACCGCGTGTAACGCCGCGTGGGTCACGTGTTTGGCGTCGGCCGGTGTAGTGGCCGGTACTGTGACCGCCGGCGCCGGAGTGCCCGCCGCTGTCTTGGGCTGCAATGCCCTCCAAGGAGTTTGTATGGCCA